GTTCAACGCCACAAGAGCGGCCGCTGTGTTTGTGGACCGATACTATTTGGTGCTCCGTGATTCCCCGGAAGAGATTCACAAGTTTTATAATGATTCAAGCATGGTTAGCCGCCCGGGACCTGATGATATCATGGCCACCTTCACAACCATTCAACATATTAAGAAACATCTTCTTTCCTCCTTTGGTTGCAAGCAATTTCATATTGTTTCCTGTGATTCTCAATTGGCGGCAAATCAGGGTGTCTTTGTCGTGGTTACCGGTTCTTTCACTACAAACAATGAACAGATCATCAAGTTTAATCAATCCTTCATGCTCTCACCCATGGAAACAACAGTTCATGACTATTTTATCTCCAATGATATTTTGAAATTTCTTGATGACAAAGAATGGATAACTCCAAATGTCTCGACTTCGAGTTCAACCACCGATCTTTTTCTTGAGGAGGATTTTTCGACAAGCGATGTTTCAAAGGCTGGTTCGAGTTTATCAAGTCATGATATTCCTGCTGTTTCAAGTTCAGTACAGGAGGATACGCCAGCTATTTATGTCGAAGATGTTTCAAGTGTTGTTTTGAGTCCACATCAAGATGTGCCAACTGTTGAAGATGTTTCCATTGTTGTTCAAAGTGATGTGTCAACTCTTCCCGTTGCAGATGATTCAACCACTGTTTCTAGTCTAGCACAACATGATGAGCCGAGTCTCCCTATCGAAGACGTGCCAACTTTCACACTAAAGATGTTCCAACTTCAAAACATGAAGTGGAAACCACTCCAGTCAAAGATGTTTCTTCCATTGTTTCGAACTCAACCCAACATGACGGACCAACTTTTTGCATGGAGGATTTTCCAGCTATTATTTCGAATTCGACGTGTCGTGTGCCAATCGATCATATTCCTAAGAAGAGTTTTTCGTCGGTGGTGCAAGTTTTGAATGAAAACGATGCCCAGTTCAAGCCGCCGCCAATCAGAAAATCTGTCAGAGTATTACAAGAGCCGAAGAAAAGTGGACTTGAAGGAGAGAATAAGAATATGAACACTGGGAATGTTAAAGCTGATGGAACATCTATATTCGTTGGGAACTTAGCTACCGGTTCAAAACCTGAACAACTTCACGAAGCTTTCAAGAGATTTGGACCAATTAAATCCAATGGTGTTCAAATTAAACTTGATAGGTTATACAGATCATATGCTTTCGTTCAATTCGAGTCTTCACGTTCTGCAAAAGCCGCTGTTCAAGCTTCATTCATTAAAATTGGCAACCGAAAGTTAAATATCAAAGAGAAGCACAGTTATTAAAATCTCTAGTATTCTCATAGCTTTAGGAATGACAATGACAATCGTTAGGGAAATTTATTAAAGATGCACAATACTTCTTTATTATATGAAACATATACTATGTATTTTTATTTTTTTCTTGTTGGGTTAAGTTATTTATATATGAATATGAAGTAGTTATATGTAATTATTTGATTATAATATCATGCTTTTTCTACCATATTTCCCGTCTCCACATTTTCTCTACAGGTTATATTTGTACATAAAATATGAAATAAGAAGATAAACATATTTAAGTAAAAAAATACTTCTTATGAAAATGTGGAAGCAAACAAAAAATATAATTAAAAATAATTATAGTTAAAAAAAAGGGTTAAATTGCATATGAAAAATAATTTTAATTAAAAAACTGATTAGTTAATTTTCTCCTCTAAATGACCTAAATTTCGTCTTCTACATTTAACATTAAAATTTAAGAATAAAAATTAAAACATTATTTATTTTTGTACTTACCATTGAGTTAAATGCTGAAACGCAAAGTAAAAATTTGTAGAGAAAACGTCTCTAGGAAACTCACCGACTGATTCGAGTTGGAATGTTTTCTTATGACATGGTTACAACAGGAACCTCCATCAGTACTGATGATTCTTGTTTTTCAAAACATATTCACAATTATTCCTCGAAATAGAATCTTAATTTTTAGGATAAATTATACAGAAGAGTTATCACTTGTTGGCCTGCATGAAAATTGTAACACCCTTAACCTGTATCCGACCCGGATTCGAGTCTTAGGTGTCACATTGACTTTTCAAAACATTTTCCTTTACAGGTGGATAAAAATCCAACTCACTATTCGATAAAATGAATATTTTATCATTAATTGACATAAATGGGTTTTACCAAACATATCAGAGCTTATACTATTCAAATCTTTATACTACATGCCAACTACATTCTATAAAACGAAATGCATATATTTAATATATTTTTGATCCGATATTCGTAACGAAAATACTGACCTGTCTTGCTCCTCTTAGCTTCTCTTCTCGCTTCTATAACCTACGTGTGAAACAATCACACGCTAAGTTTATGACTTAGTGAGGCTTATAAAACATATAATATAAACTAAACTTCTAACAATGCATATGAATAATTAATGCTATTATAACATACATCTTCATGTACACTTCATAAAATGAATACATACACACACAAACCTTATAATATCACATATGAGTTTTACTATTTCATATTCCTATAATCATTTAATTCACACTACTTCGCTTATATCACATTCTACTATCTTCATTTAAGTCGTTTACTTCCCCTATTCTTAATCCTGTAATTTTGATCACAATCCTACATAACTTATCTCTCATTTCTATATGTTTCTATTTAATATTTCACCCATAAATTCTCGTTACATATTCTAATATCCTAATTTCTTATATTCTCTTAATTCATTCCTCACCCAATCTTCATTTAATAAACATATATTTGCATAACTTATTGTTATTTGATTCCTATGATATTCTCATATGATTTCTTAGATTCTTATACTAAACATATCCCTTACTAATTTAGCAAGGTTAGTTCACAGTTCTATTTTAAACATATATATCTTCATGCACCACTTATCAAATATCCTTTTATACTTATCTATATACCTTTTCCTTTAATTAATATACTATTTGCTTGGTCTCAATTCTCATTAATCATATAGTTCACCACTTCCTTATCTATGTATATATATATATATATATATATATATATCGTTCACTAGATTTCTCATGAAATTACCTCTAATATATCATATAATTATATTATATTCACTTACATTCCCATATATCATATCAACATATTTCACATAGAACATATCATATATGCAATAAATGAAACTCATACATTCACATCCAAATGTTCAATCACATATGACAATCATGTTAAGTTTCTGTGTATTATTTCTTTATTGTCCCATGTACATCTTGGAGAACTAAAGATATGTGAGTTCATTGAGGTTGTGCACTGATGCTGTCACCACAGCTCGAATAAATTCCCACTAGGGGCACTGCATATTTGTCCCGAATGACCACTATGTCCCGAAGGACCACTCCTTAAGAACCATACACATAATACAATGGACCAAATAAGTGTATCGAAGTACCACATATATGTTCCACAGAATTACATATATGTCCCGAAGGACCACGTAGAACCCTCGACTCTTGGCATGCCAACTACACCTCTAGCTCTCATGACACGTAACATGTGCATCATTATTATGTTTACCATATATTCACATAGCCATATCACATAAACATATATTCTTATCATATCACACATACTCTCATAAATCATATCCACATGACTTATCTTATATACATATGTTCACATAATTTAGCTTACTTCACCTTCCATATATCCATACCATTCGTTACCACATAATTGATATCTTAATCACATAACAATAACCTACATTCACATAGATCATACCACATATACAATAATATATCACAATTATGCTCATATCAATAACATGCTTATATATATGTTAATATAGGAAATAGACTTGTCACAAGTCTTATTTCCATTCATCATAATATATCAACTAACACGCACTCACCTTAGCCTTGTTTGCTTTGACTCGATCCTAACCTTTGGATTGTTCCGGAACAAGATTACGTTCTATATCTACAAAGTAATACATTGATACATATCAATATACTAATTAATATATTCTAATCTATCACTTCTTAGACTAAAAGAAATGTTACTTTCATCTCTTAAATAATGTAGGTATCGATGCACTCTACAATGTATCGATGCATCCTTTAACGAGTGCATCGATGCACTACTTATGCATCGATACACAAATTGCATTCGATGTTTTCATCTTAAGGGGGTGCATCGGTGCACTCCTTATGCATCGATGCACTAATTGCATTCGATGTTTATTTATTTGAGAGTGCATCGATACACATTGAAGATGCATCGATGCACACAACCCAGAAATTCCATTTTAAGCACGAAATTCACTCTCTTTTCATCTCAACTCTTCAACTTTCACCTCCTTTATTTATTATAAGAACTGAATATATATATATATATATATATATATATATATATATATATATATATATATATATATATATATATATATATATATATATATATATATTATAACAAGACATAATATATTTTGTCATTAGCAGTAAATATATCAAAATTCTAATTAGAGTAAATATATATAATTATAATCTACAAGTTCTAAATTATATTATATTTTAAAAAATATATATTTAATTTAAGACTAGATCACGTAAGGTTAGATTAATTTTGAATGATTGGATGATATCGTAGTTCAGTTGTGTTGTGCAGTTAATGTCTGAAAACAAACGCTCCAGCCTTTTTATTTTTTTCAACCTCAAAGCAAATAAATAACTAAGTAATTAAAAGTCCAAGTAAAAATATATATATGGCGAGAGAAAAGTAATTTTCCTACAAAAGGTATCTTCCTACGAATAGAAATCGTAAATAAAAGACACCGAACTGGATTAGAATTCCACATCTTTCAAGTTCTGGAAATCTCAATCCTCTTTGGACTTGATATGTTATATATATATATATATATATACACTATAACCTCTCTTTGGTTATCTCAAAATCTTTGTCTTCTCTGGTTTTAGCTTTCCTTTCGGTTTTCTTAATTTTCTCTCTGTTAATCCATGGACGCAAAGTCAAGTGTCTGTTCAACGCCACAAGAAGCGGCCGCTGTGTTTGTGGACCGATACTATTTGGTGCTCCGTGATTCCCCGGAAGAGATTCACAAGTTTTATAATGATTCAAGCATGGTTAGCCGCCCGGGACCTGATGATATCATGGCCACCTTCACAACCATTCAACATATTAAGAAACATCTTCTTTCCTCCTTTGGTTGCAAGCAATTTCATATTGTTTCCTGTGATTCTCAATTGGCGGCAAATCAGGGTGTCTTTGTCGTGGTTACCGGTTCTTTCACTACAAACATTGAACAGATCATCAAGTTTAATCAATCCTTCATCCTCTCACCCATGGAAACAACAGTTCATGACTATTTTATCTCCAATGATATTTTGAAATTTCTTGATGACAAAGAATGGATAACTCCAAATGTCTCGACTTCGAGTTCAACCACCGATCTTTTTCTTGAGGAGGATTTTTCGACAAGCGATGTTTCAAAGGCTGGTTCGAGTTTATCAAGTCATGATATTCCTGCTGTTTCAAGTTCAGTACAGGAGGATACGCCAGCTATTTATGTCGAAGATGTTTCAAGTGTTGTTTGGAGTCCACATCAAGATGTGCCAACTGTTGAAGATGTTTCCATTGTTGTTCAAAGTGATGTGTCAACTCTTCCCGTTGCAGATGATTCAACCACTGTTTCTAGTCTAGCACAACATGATGAGCCGAGTCTCCCTATCGAAGACGTGCCAACTTTTTCACACTAAAGATGTTCCAACTTCAAAACATGAAGTGGAAACCACTCCAGTCAAAGATGTTTCTTCCATTGTTTCGAACTCAACCCAACATGACGGACCAACTTTTTGCATGGAGGATTTTCCAGCTATTATTTCGAATTCGACGTGTCGTGTGCCAATCGATCATATTCCTAAGAAGAGTTTTTCGTCGGTGGTGCAGTTTTGAATGAAAACGATGCCCAGTTCAAGCCGCCGCCAATCAGAAAATCTGTCAGAGTATTACAAGAGCCGAAGAAAAGTGGACTTGAAGGAGAGAATAAGAATATGAACACTGGGAATGTTAAAGCTGGTGGAACATCTATATTCGTTGGGAACTTAGCTACCGGTTCAAAACCTGAACAACTTCACGAAGCTTTCAAGAGATTTGGACCAATTAAATCCAATGGTGTTCAAATTAAACTTGATAGGTTATACAGATCATATGCTTTCGTTCAATTCGAGTCTTCACGTTCTGCAAAAGCCGCTGTTCAAGCTTCATTCATTAAAATTGGCAACCGAAAGTTAAATATCAAAGAGAAGCACAGTTATTAAAATCTCTAGTATTCTCATAGCTTTAGGAATGACAATGACAATCGTTAGGGAAATTTATTAGAGATGCACAATACTTCTTTATTATAAACATATACTATATTTTATTTTTTTCTTTTGGGTTAAGTTACTTATATATGAATATGAAGTAGTTATATGTAATTATTTGATTATAATATCATGCTTTTTCTGCCATATTTCCCGTCTCCACATTTTCTCTACAGGTTATATTTGTACATAAAATATGAAATAAGAAGATAAACATATTTAAGTAAAAAAATACTTCTTATGAAAATGTGGAAGCAAACAAAAATATAATTAAAAATAATTATAGTTAAAAAAAGGGTTAAATTGCATATGAAAAATAATTTTAATTAAAAAACTGATTAGTTAATTTTCTCCTCTAAATGACCTAAATTTCGTCTTCTACATTTAACATTAAAATTTAAGAATAAAAATTAAAACATTATTTATTTTTGTACTTACCATTGAGTTAAATGCTGAAACGCAAAGTAAAAAATTTGTAGAGAAAACGTCTCTAGGAAACTCACCGACTGATTCGAGTTGGAATGTTTTCTTATGACATGGTTACAACAGGAACCTCCATCAGTGCTGATGATTCTTTGTTTTTCAAAACATATTCGCAATTATTCCTCCAAATGATTTTTAGGATAAATTATACGGATGGTTCTTTTTATTTTTGGTCTCTTGTGTTTTAGTTACTTTGGTTAGTTTGTTGGTAGTTTTGTTGTTGTGTAATTTATTTATTACTTTCATATTCCAAGCCATTGTCTAAAAGGATTTTATACTTTTTGTTTGAGGAAATATGAAACAATAAAAGTTTAAAAGTTTAGGGTTTAAATTGAAAATTAATATTTTTTTAACGTGTCATATCAATAATCTAACGTCAGAGTGACCAATACGTTATAACTCGAAAACATAAGTGACCAGAACCAAACTTTTTCAAAATCAATGACCAAAACAAAACAAACCAAATACAAATCAGGGTGCAAAGCACGTGAAAAGCTAACCAACTCAGCAACAAACTTACAACAACCCCACACAACAGAATTACAATAATACCATTAAAATCATGAACCTTCTAGCAACTATACTCATTTACAAACATTCTCCACATTCTTTACCTCTTACACCTTCTTCTACAGAAACATGGGAAAGAAACATAACAAAACGAGACTTGATGAGTGGCTTAGTAAATCCATCTGTCACCTGATCTTCCGTTGGCACATGGTTCATTCTCAATGTTCCAACGACCATTTTCTCCCTAACGAAATGTACATCCAATTCAACATGTTTAAATTGTGCATGGAGTACCGGATTTGCACTAACAACAACAACACTCGAGTTACCACACCATATTGTTGGCAAGCCTGTGCACTCAGCGCCCGTGTCTAACATCAAGGTCTTCATCCTCGCGACCTCAAAGGCAGCATCCACAACATTACGGTACTTAGCCTCGGTAGTTGAGCCAGAGATGAACTTTTGTTTCTTTGAACACCATGACACAAGGTGCTGTCCCAAAAACACTCCATACCTGGTCACGGAGAGTTTGTCATCAACACCACGGATTTAAATAGCGTTCGTGTTCGCGTTTTCGGTCGCGTCGCGTTTATCGCGGTTGCAGACATAACGAATGCCATAGCAGTCACTGTGGGTGCCGCGGTTGTGAATTATTTTAAATTTCGCACAACTTATCATAAAACATAATAATTATAATTATAAGGAGACATTTTTAATGATTTTTAGAATGTTTTCTAAGCTAAAATGACAAATATATAATATAGTTTAATCATATTGAAGACTTTAAAATTCGGTAATAGGATAAGATAATTAATTCATGATAACATTGTGAACACATTATTATTTAAATTAGTAAAATTAGGACTAAATTAAACAAAAATTAAAGTTTACATTATAAACTATAGATTAAATTATAAATTTTAAAAAGTGGATGGATGGCAAATTAATATATTCCTTAAAGATATATTTTATAACTTACTTAAATGTTTTGTTTTAAGCCTAAAAAACCCTAAAATATTTTAATCTTAAACTTTATCACCTCCTGTTGAGAAAACAGTATAGAAGTATATCAAGAGAATAATAGTCTTCATTCATACTTGATGATTACACTGCTCTTGTTATTTATACAACATACACACCATAACAAACTAGCTAAATTTGTTAGTATGCTAACTAACTATACTGAGCTGGATAACAACCACGATGAGCTGGCACCTTCCAGAATATGCTCAACATCCTCCTTACTGCTTCAGCTCTTCAGAACGATGCTCAACATCCTCCCTGCTGGTTCAGTTCTTCAAACTCTTCAAATGACCACACTCCCAGCTTCTATCAAAATGCAGTAAAATTATCCTTTGTCAACGCTTTAGTTAATCCATCAGCTACCTGATGTTCTGTAGGTACATAACTGATCTTCAACTTCCATGCTGCCATTTTCTCCCTAACAAAATGAACATCAAGTTCAACGTGCTTTGTTTTTGAGTGATACACTGGATTTTCATTCATGGCAATTGCACTTGAGTTATCACACCAAATGACTGGTGAAGCTTGCATTTGAATTCCCATGTCTGTTATTAACGCACTCAACCAAGTTACATCGGATGTCGTATCTGCCAAACTCCGATTCCCACCCTCATTAGTAGACCTGGACACCGTCTTCTGTTTCCTTGAACTCCACAAAACCAAATTGCCTCCTAGATACACACAACACCCTGATATGGAGTGCCTGTCATCTACACTACCCCCCAATCAGCATCTGGAAATGCTATTAGTTGAAGCGGTTCATCACTCGGAGAGAAAACCAGTCCATAGTCAAGCGTTCCTCGAATATATCGCAGGACTCGTTTCATTGTAGCAAAATGTTGTTCTCAGGGAGCATGCATAAATTGAGCCAGCTTATTCACACTAAACTCAATATATGGCCTTGTATGACATGCATACAAGAGAGATCCCACTAGACTTTCGATATTCCTTTGCATCATTTAGCTGGCCACCCGGCTCTTTGAAGAGCTTAGGAGAGGATGTCATAGGTGTAGGTGTTGAAGCAACACTCTCCATACTTGTCTTGGTTAACAGTTCCATTATGTATTTCTTCTTACTTAGAAAAACAGCACCTCTTGCATGCTTAACTTCAATACTAAGAAAGTAACTCAATTTACCAAGATCTTTTAAGCAGAATTTTTTGTTCAATAGGTTAACCACCTTTTCAATCTCATCGTTTGAGCAACCTGTGATGATTATATCATCAATATAAACCAAGACATACAACACTCTCCCACTTTCGTGCTTAATAAAAAGTGAACTATCAGCCTGTGTACTTTTGAATCCAATGCTAAGCACATAACTTCTCAACTTAGCAAACCAGTTTCTCGAGGCTTGTCTAAGTCCATACAGTGCTTTATGTAATTTGCATACCAGGCGAGAACCATCTAATGCTTTCTTCTCAAAACCTTGAGGCTGCTGCATGAAAACCTCCTCGTGAAGATCTCCATTTAAAAAAGCATTATTCACATCTACTTGCCTTAGTTGCCAACTGTTTTGAACTGCAAGTGATAGTATGACATTGATAGTGGACGACTTGGTGACTAGGCTGAAGGTTTCTTGAAAATCTTGGCCAGGAACTTGAGTAAAACCTATGGCCACAAGTCTGGCCTTATACCTCTGAACAGTCCCATCAGCATTCCTTTTTCGTTCTAAAAATCCACTTGCAACCCACTACTGATCTCCCTTCAGGTAAAGAGACCAGCGACCATGTGTTATTTTGTTCCAGCGCTTCATATTCTTATGGACTGCTTCCTTCCATCGAGGAAACTGCAACACTTCATATATGAAGCATGGTTCTTTCTCAATTTCATTATGAACCATGGAGTAGAGCTTTGGCTTAAAAATGCCACATTTGCTTCTGGTCATCATCGAATGTCCAGTGACAGGAACAACCACTGATTTCACTTCATTACAATCGTGATGCAACTCTTGTGTACTACTTTGAGCCAGACCAACATCATCAGGTAGTAGACTTTGAGTGTTTTCCTCACTCGCATTCGAGTGTCCTATGCTTTTAGCTGATATCGAAGAAGAACTAGAACTAGACACTTGTTGTTCCTCATTTTGAGACCCCACGACAGAATCCATACTCAAGGTGGTTTACCCCTGTTGATTTTTATAGAGCACACCCTGCTGCACACAGACCCTTTCAGAACCATCAACTACAAGTAACTGCATGGGCGATTTTATAACATTTTGCCCACTATCTTTAACACAAGTATCTTGTTTGCCTACAAAGGGAAAAAATCGTTCATAAAAAGTGACATGCCTCGATATGTAGATTCTCCCATCAGAAACCATGCACTGATACCCCTTGTGCTGTGAACTATAACCAAGAAATGTGCATGGTTGCGAGCGATAGCTTAGCTTGTGATTTTGATAGGGTCGAAGATGAGGAAAACACCTGCAACCAAAGACTTTCATAAATTCATAGTCAGGTATTTTATTATGTAGCACCTCAAAAGGAGATTTTCCTTGCAAAACACGTGTGGGAAGTCGATTTATCAGATGAACTGCAGTGCTTACTGTATAGGACCAGAACTTAAACGGTAACAATGCTTGAGCCATCAATACAAGGGCTGACTCAATGATATGGTGATGTTTCTTTTCAACCACGCCATTCTGCTCAGAAGTGTGTGGGAAGGACAATCGATGATGAACACCTAATTTTGTCAACAAAGATGAAATGGATCGATACTCACCCCCCAATCTGTTTGGACTTCCTTAATCACATTATTAAACTGAGTTTTAACCATTTCATGGAATGATTGATATGCATGTAATGCTTGGTCTTTTGTTTTCAACAAATACACCCAACAGTATCTTGTGCAAGCATCAACAAACGAAACATAAACACCTGTATACACTATAGAGGATTCATTGAAAGGAATCTTATGGCTTTTTCCCATCTTACAAGAAACACAAACACCATTATTAACAACATTGGCATCAGTGGGAAACTCAAGACCAAAGTTTTTACAAGCCTTTACAAGATAAGCATGTGCAGGATGCTCAAGTCTCATGTGCCACAAGACATAGGCATTTGTTAAATCAGCATGCATTTTATGAGCTACATTTATTTCTAAACAAGCACCTGTATTGCCATGTTGATCTCCTGTTGTAGCATCAAATTGATATAAACCTCCACTCTCTCGCCCTTGTAACACCACCGCACCAGTAGCTTTATCTCTAACTAGACAACTCTTGGCATGAAATTCAAAGTAGACATCATTGTCTCTAGCAAACTTTGAGACAGAAAGCTGATTTTTAGTTACAGAAGGGACATGAAGCAGATTATGAAGGAATAAAGTTCGATTCTTAGTAGTAAGCTTAATAGTTCCAGCCTTGCATATGTCTAAAAAATTGCCATTACCCACAACCAGCTTACCTGGACCAGAATAATCCGAGCCATTAACCACCTTAGAAGCTTCAGGTGTGACATGATGTGTAGCCCCCGAGTCTACTATCCATCTATCTGAAGTTGACAAGGGCACATGTGCTTGGGACTGAGTATTGTTGTTATGCGAGAGATAACTATATGCCATCTTACATGAGTTAACACACACAGCAGTGACTCATCGTTGTACTCATCTTTGTGTGCTAAAACCCCTGGAAAACCTTGATCAAATCGATGCCAGCATCTATCCACTGAATGGCCAATTTTACCGCATAGCTGGCACTGAAGTCTAGAGCATCCTCGACCATGAGCTCCTGATCTAGCTCCAGTCCTTCCATTCAAACTATAAGGCCGATTGTACTGACTAGTGCGCCCAGAATCTTGATTATTGTTATGCATGTGAACAACATTTGCACTCATTGCCACTTGATTTTGAATCTGAAAACTCTTGAGTTGCGCCTCAGCATCAACCAGCACAGCTTTTACTCCATCAAGCGAGAAGGCTTCTTTACTCATCGTGATAATCGCCATAAACGGTTGATACTCAAACGATAAGCCATTCAATATAGTTGTTATATGTTCAAGATCTTATACTGCACTTCCACACGCAGCCAACACATCGCATACTTCTTTGATTCACTACAGCAAAAGTGTTCTATAGCGGCGTTTTTAGCAGCGTTTTTAGGGTAAATGCCATAAAATTTAAGCATGTAGCGGCGTTTACAATCGAAATGCCACAAAATACTACTTTAGTGGCGTTTTTTCAACAAACGCCGTAATAGAGTGGTAATTTAGCAGCGTTTATAACTCAAACACCAGAATATAGTTGTTTATAGTGGCATTTTTTCAACAAACGCCGCAATAGAGTAGTAATTTAGCGGCGTTTTTATACAAATACCACAATAGGGTTGCTTACAGTGGCATTTGTCCAACAAATGACGCTATATAGAAGTAATTTAGCGGCGTTTATCAAACAAACGCCGTAATCAATAACACAAATCTGGTTTTTAGCAGCGGTTGTTTAGTGGCTTTTATGTAAAAAACGCCGTGATAACCAGATATATAGTGGCAATTTTGTAAAAACGCCGCTAAAATTTCGTACTGTGCTGAGGTTTTATTAAAAACGTCTCTATAAACACATACATTACTGGCGTTTTTGGAAAAAACGCCACTATAGAGTTTACAATAATGGCGTTTGTTATAAAAACACCACAAAATCACGTACATTAGTGGCGTTTTTTCATGAAAACGCCGCGAAATGATAATTATATTTCCCCACTTTCTCCTTGTCGATCCCTAATTCTTTTGAACTTCTTTTTCCTTATCTTCCCTCTTCTTCCCTAATTCTTCCTCGAAAAGCCCCAACGCATGGATATTTGATGATTATGTTTTGTTAGACGACATTACGTACAATGCTTGGTGGTGATATTCCTTCACTTCACCCTTCAGCCCCCTATTTGGTCATCTAATTCCCTCACTTGCTGTAATCTTATCAGGTTCCTCTCTTCTCATTTTCTTTCTTTTTAATTGAATCCTTTTGAATTTTTGAATTTCCAGGTATCATATTAGTTTTACATTTCACGCAATTTCAAATAGGTTTTAGACTTTGGGTTCTCTAAAAAATGAAAGTTTTATGCTTTATTTTAGTGAATTAGGTTTACAAAGTAATTGTTTTCGTATTGGGGGTATTTTACGAGATCATACGGGGGCTTTATCTTGCAAATACATCTCATTCCTTCGAATTTGAACTTCAAATGGAATTGTGCCTTCACCTATCACTATTGTATGCAAGGACTGATACCTGCAGATTAAGATGGGTATTAGAAGGGTCTTCAGCATTTATGGCTTCCAGATAATTCAGACCATAGCTGTAGATTAAGAAGACGCTTTCCATGTATGGACTGATACCTCGAATTATTGAACCAAACACAGAGTTTGAATTCGGGCACTTGAACCAAACACAATATGGTGAGTTTGTTCTGTTAAGTTTTTACTCTCTTTGTCGTTGTTAGTAAATTATAAGAGAAGAAAACCTTGCTCTGGATTATGTTCTCGCTTCAAATCATCTGTTTCTTATGAATTTTGTTGGCTTTTCCCTTTTCTTTTCAATAATGATTGTCTTACTGTCTCCAATAATGATTGTCATCACTGCCTGTATGCTAATAGCTTTTTTTTATGGAAGAACTGTGTTTATATATTCAGTCATTGCTATAATTATCTAATGCTATCTTTGTTGTAGTTTGTGTTAATCTCATCCATACAATTTATTTCGATGAAAACATGTTTGCAAAGAAATAAATTCCCCTAGTAGAAGAAGAGTGTTTGGCTGTTTGCAAAGTTTAAGATCAGCCAAGGAATAGATAAAAATGAACAATATGAACACTATATAGAATAATGATTGTGAACAATGAAAGCTCGAATAATATAAGACTTGTTTGCTTTTTCTTTGGTTTTTTTAAATTCTCTTTTTGTAATTTTATATCTTGGTGTTAGTGATAAGATTTTCTAACCTTTTTATGTTATGTTTGTATCAAGTATTGATGTTAGTGAACATGATATACGGTTTGTTGAGGACAATTGGGAGAGCTCGATTATATGATCTATTTTAATGGTGGATTTTTTTATGTGGATGTATGTTTTCCAATTTGTATAGTTTCATGCTATTGGTGCCTTGAGCGTATACTTATGTTACTTTTCATGGAAAATGAGTAATCTTCACCCTTTTTTCCCTCCCTCTTTTAGCTCGAAGAGTTGTTCTGAAGTTTCATAGTTTGATGCCCATTGATTCTCCCAAGAGACCCAGACTTAGATTGTCCTCTTTAATTTATTATTCCCATTGAGTTATCAATATATGCATCCTAATGGCTGGAAATGCTTTTGCTTTACCATTTATGTCCAATGTGAATAATTATTCTATTGAATCGTGTACTTTCAGGAAGGAAATATGTGCTTATTATTTAGAACATGCCAGTGTTAGCCATATTCAAAAGCATTTTTATTTTTTTGAGGAAGAAGCTCGTTCATTACTTGCTTTAGGATTGTCAATTCCTGCGTATGTTTACAAATGTTTCAATGATTCGTATTCCTAATTTTCTCCTTATTTACTTTCTCTTTATGTTAACATTTTATCAATAACATGCTAGGTATGATCAGCTACTGAAGACATCTCATTTTTTTAATATATTGGACTCTAGAGGTTGTGTTGGGGTAACAGAGCGTGCACGTTATTTTGGTCGGATGCACAGACTGGTCACACCTCCTTATTCCATGTTCTTACAAAGTTGGAAATTTAGAATTTAGAGGCCTCCAATGTGGAAATACCTCAAGTGTATCACGGGGATGTATTTCTCAGAATTGTAAAATGTTTAGTGTGATGCATTTCTCAATGTCAATAGATTAATTTTTTATTGTTGTCCTTTTCTTTATTAATTTAGTGCAAGTTCCTGTACGAGCATGTACACCACATGGGAGCTTCACTTTTTTTATATGTGACATAACCCAAGCCTTCTTTTGTTATTTCAGATATCTGTTGAAAATCTTTGTCCTCAGCAAGCAGAGAATGAACTTAAGGTTCGGGTACCTCCTGTATCAAAAGCCTTTGACCTATAGGGAAATCCTACAAAGGTTTTGGTTGCCTCTTATCATGCTTTGCTAAATGTTTTTCAGCTTAACCGAAGGAAGTCTGATATTTTGTTCAGTGATTTTGTTTTGTTGGGTTGTATAATTCAGTAGTAGAAGGATTCTGACAATTCCATTGGAGTTCTGCATTTTTTTTCTTTTTGTTTCAACCCATATGAAATTTGTTATTTACTGCAGGCTGCTGAGGGTTTTTTCCGTAGATATGTTGTTCCACTGGACTCTAAGTTCATAAAGGCAAATGGTGAGTCAGTTTGATTCCTGCATAATACTTGATTCTTAGTATTTTGTGCTTCATCTATTTCTAGGCGAATTTATATTATATAACCCATTAAAATCATGATAAAAACACCAAATAAGGGAAAACAATAGGCATTGCATATTTCTTTACCAACATTCATTACGATCTCCTAAGATCCATTTCATGTTGTAAAAGGAGTGATGTTTTATTGTTTGGTCAAACTCAAGGAAATATCTTACAGTTTCATTCGTATAAGTTCCACAAGTTCAGAGCAATTGATTTGTACCTACTTGGTATAAATGATTGTCTTGAAGTTACTTTATTAATGGCAAATTATTTACCATTCGGTTACGTTGTGCACTTTATAGTAGTTAGATCATATTATTGCATTCACTGTATCTTACTGGGCCTAATATTTAAGTTATTTGATAAAATGTATTATTTGTTGGGGGAAGTCCAAGTCAGATTTGTTCGATATGGGGCTGAGGATGATGAATGGGTTAATGTAAAGAATGTAGTACGAGAGCAATCTATCCCATTTGAGCATTCTGAATGTAATAAGGTGTCCATTGGAAATCTCGTGTTGTGCTTGCAGGTGATTAATAAATGCACTCATTGTTCTTAAATCTCTCAATAATTTTCCATCTTTGTGTTAATTTGTGTTTCTTTCTAGAATTTAGGAGAGGAGAGACCAATCAGATTACTATGATGCTCACGTCGTAAAGATTGATTGGAAAATGCAAGACATACGAGGGTGTAGGTGTCTCTGTTTTTTTACTTCCTTTCCCACGAAGGAGCAATGAAGACTAAATTCTAGTGAACAATACTTTTTTAATTGAAAGTGAAAGAACCTAGACTAAATTCTAGAGAACAATGTCAAACTACATTACATTTAATTTTAATGTTTATAAATTTTAATTTATTTTGTTATTAAGTATTTTTCTGCATAACTTGTGTTTTAATTAAAATGTATGGTTGTTGCTAATTAGATAAAGCTACATGATATTAAATTTAGGTGATATAGAGAAGAAATAAAATATGCAAAATCAATTATTCGGTAATTAGTGGCGTTTGTATCCACAAACGCCGCTATAGATCTAACCTTTTACGGTGTTTGTATCCAAAAACGCCGCTATAAATATGACATTTGCGGCATTTGTTTCAAAATGCTGCTATAGATATCGACCTTTTGCGGCGTTTGTTCCAAAAACGCTGCTATAGATCTGACCTTTTGCGGCGTTTGTTACAAAAACGCCGCAATAGATATCGACCTTTTCGGCGTTTATTCCAAAAACGCCGCTATTGATATCGACCTTTTGCGACGTTTGTTCCAAAAACGCCGCGATAGATCTTGACCTATTGCGGCGTTTTTTGTTCTCAAAAGCCGCTAACTTTAGCGACGCTGGTATTAGCGGCGTTTCTTGCGACGTTTTTCATATCGCCGCAAGTGCTTTTAGCGGTGCTTAAAAACACCGCTATAGGACTAAAAAAACGCCGCAAAAAAACAAATTTGCTGTAGTGATTTGAGTAAGATACGATCTCATACTCTCGTCACCTTTCTTAATTGCTCGCAACTTGCAATGAAGGCTCATTACAGTTGTTGTCGACTGATTGGCAAAGAACTTGAGAACGATTGACCATACATCCGCAGCAGTTTCTGCACCAACAAATTGAGGGAGTATGTGATCACTAATTGTGGACAACAACCATGAAGCTAAAGCACTGTCATGTGCAACAAAGATTTCATAATCTTCATTGGCCGCAAGACTGCCATCACCAGATTGAATCTGTGCCGGTGGAGGTTTAAGTTCACCAGTGAGTAAACGTTCCAAGCGATGACTCCTTACTGTCAAGAGAACTTACTGTTTCCACAACAGAAAGTTTATTTCATCAAGAACTATGTTGATCTTCTTGTTTGTGAATAAACGATTGCTTCTCGAGGAGTCTCCTACAACCAAACTATGCTCAACATCCTCAGCTTCCATGACCGAAAAACGAAAGGAATCACGAGAAGCAACCAAACCAGCAGCTATCAGAGAAGCAACGGAAAAACGACGCCTCCAAGATCAATGGCGAAAGATACCATGTTGAGAAAACAGTATAGAAGTATATCAAGAGAATAATAGTCTTCATTTATACTTGATGATTACACTGCTCTTGTTATTTATACAGCATACACACCATAACAAACTAGCTAAAGTTGTTAGTCTGCTAACTAACTATGTTGAGCTGGATAACAACCACGCTGAGCTGGCACCTTCCAGAATATGCTCAACACCTCCCCCCTACGTTCTCTCATTTCTTCCTCATTTCTTCCTACTCTCTTATCTCAACACCCAACATCCATGTATCAAAAATAGGTAAAAAACTCCAAAACCATAACATGTTCAGAGCGTGAATGTTTTTCTCTTTTTCTTCAACAATCTTAAGCCCGACGAAGATTCCTTTCTCTGATTCCAGTGAATTCCACTCCGGCGAGACCCACAAAATAGGTTCGTTCTTTCTTTTTACTTTTCCATTTTCTTTTTCCTTTTAAATCTCAATATGCATGTATCAAACGTGAATTTGAAAAGAAAGAAAAAAATAGGCTTGGTGTCGATATAAGTTTTTTTTTTTGCAGTAACGGTTGGAATAACGCTTGTTGTGTTCCGTTATCGACGCAATCCACTGTTCCCGTTAAATTGCGGGCGCGACATACCGCTATTGGTGTGAATCCGTTGCCCACTGCAAAAATCATGAAAACCGGTTTCAGACGGTGGCGCTACCGCAATATCACGACCACTATCACATTTTTGGAACGCTCTTTGATACCCTGATCAACACTACTCGCCCAGTCAGCATCCAAAAAAGCCACAACATTTGTTGAACCACCATTGCTTTGAGCAACAAGCCATGATGCATTACCCCTTCAAATAACGTAGTATGCGCTTAACAACCATCCAATTTCCTCACATAGACGCTGCTGAATTGAGCCACGACTTACGCTAAAAGTGATATCTAGCGGTGTGTGTCCTAAGTATAAAAGAGCTCCAACTACACTCCTATAAGAATGAGGGTCCTCAAGAAGGCAACCAACGTCTCGAGCTAACTCAGGATATGGCACCATGGGTGTTGGGACGGGAGTAGACTCGTACATGTTAGTTTTGGCAAGTAGTTCCTTTATAAGTTTTCGCTGTCAACAGCTTAGTGAACTGTACACTAGTTGCAACCACTCCTGCCCCCGGTTCATTAAGGTGGACCCCAACACTGGCATTGATAAAGAAGCCTTGGACTTGGACAAGCTCCGTATTGCTCTCTCCCACAGTTGTGTGATTGTTTCAGTCTTCTGCAAACCTCAGCATGTCAAGGTGACTAACATCACCAAGCAAATCCAAAACCAAGAACAGCAGAAGGAAATGAAAAAGGGTTTTGTTGGAGATTTGATGGAGAGTGTGACGCTCGTCAACCCTTCAAATGGTCAACTTGTTGGCTTTGGCCGTTCTGTTTATGATCTGGGATTGACTGCATCCATCTACGATGTCATGGTGCTTGTCTTTCTACCCTCTGGTAATTACAGGGTTGGATTAGCATCCAAACATCCTTTAACAACCTGTTTTGGCTTTTTTCTCTTTGTAGAAGAATGCAATTGTTATACAAATGGACAATTTAAATGGATAACTTAGCAGTTAGTCAGTCCCTGGATAAAAGATGCTTCCTTTTTATTGTTCCTTATACCCTTCCTCTCTAGCTTTGCTCTCTCCCACGTACACACCCTTTAAAAAATCACATTTATATAAACATATATTTGGAGCATTGCTTGAATATTCAATATCAGGCAACCTTACTTGTTGATATCAATATCAAGTTTTCAACTCTTGGTTTGTATACTTTTTAAGGTAAGGGCTAGTTATTGACCGTAATAAGGCTTTTGGATTATAACCCTATCAGTGTGATTTCTTCAGACACCTCTATTTCTAATTTGATACTTGACTGCCGTTCATATCTTATAATTGTGGTTTAGCGCATTGCATGTCGCTCCTCCTTTACAGGCATGGGAATTGGGACGATAATAGTTAAAAGGCTTGTAAGGTTTGGTACTCTAATGTTTATACTAGTTTTGAAATTTTTAACAGGATTAAGTAGTTGTACATCAAATCTGCCCTAAACAGGCATGCAACTGTAATCTTGTCTTCCTTTAAATGATAGCCGGTGCATGCATCCTTATTCAGCTCTAGAAATGGTATCATGTCACCTGTTTGCCTGCTTCAGGCTCATGGTTATAGTTGAATAGCATGAAAATTCTCTTTTTCGAGGATTTCAATTTAGGTGTCAAATTCAAAATAAATGCCTCAGGAACTGCCCGATGGAGATTACATTATCTTGTTATACCCTTATTCTTAGCCTGCAGTTTTTGAAATGAAATGTATACCGGTAGTTACTGAAGCTATATTTAGGAGTTTAACTTTTTTGCCCCTAAGTTTGCCTCTAGATGCTCACATGCAACTAGCGACATTTATGACATAGCTGCTCTTTGTTTCACAAAGGAAAGGTAATTCTTGTCATTATGCTAAAATTCCATAACCTGTGTTTCTCATTATCTGTTTCATATACCCTTGTTTTATTGGTTTTACCACTAGGCAGCCTCTATTTTCTTGCTTTGAAACATGTTGCAATGTCATTTTAACAAAGGCCAGCCAAGTGTATTACAATCCCCCTACAGCTTATGGGGAATTATTTTTTCTCCTGAATTTGCTGCAGCTTACCGGCTGTTTTTTTATGTTATCTGGCTCAGTGGCTCTCTTCTGCTACCTTAACTCCAGCCCTAAACCAGAACGATTTAAAATATAAGAGGGCTTAAATTTTGATTAGATGGGCTTCATTCTTTTGTTGGACGAACATCATCTTATGGATTTGTTGCAAACAGATTATGTGCAAACCTGAGAGAATCAAGGGAAAGGTTGGGTCATTGATAAATGATTTGTGCTGATTCTTCTTCAAAAGCACGATTCTTATAAGCTTATGTCAGGTTCTTCTTCAAAGCATGTGGATTCAGAGATGACATCTTAGGCTCCACTACGATGAGCCGATGAGGTATGGCAGGACGGTTTCAAATACTTGTTTTGAAGGTGACGAAATGGTTACGGAAGCCAGTCGAAAACTTTTGTTATCCGAGTGCCACCGTTTGCATCTTCCAAGACAACCAAACATCAAGGTTGAACCACATGGTTGCCTTATGAATACAATTTCCTCTTATTAATGAAGCATATGGAATTAGGGGGGGGGGGGGTTATTTTTAATATGGCACTAAAAATTTGGAAGGTAGTGAAGACAGACTATTCCACGGTGACCGTGCCAACAATATGGCATATATTGAGAAGATAAGTTTGGAATTTTATCTTGTATCATATTTTTTCAAATAAATTTTGAATGTGATTTTTAATATTTATTAATTTAAATTTTAAGAGTTAGTTAGGTGACTATTTTATAACTTTTAATAGTCAATGAACTTAGCAAAATAGCATCATATAATTGAGAGGCATTTTACGTACTTTACCCAAAAATTAAACAAATAATACATTATTATAAATATTTTTAGTTATATTTTAAAACTAAATAATATATTATTATTATTGATTGATTGTTATGATTGCTGCTCAATTTCAAAATTTTATATACAGCCAAGGCCAGCCCAAATGCTTAACGTTTTATTTTTATGTTATTAGCTATATATTCAATGAAGTTTATTACAAATTTCTATATTATAAAAATTTTCATGTTAATCTCTCTTTTATAAAAAAAATATTTAGTATTAATACATTTGAGAAAATAAATATTTTAATTTAAAACATTAGAGTAATAACTTGTTGGTTTAAATATATTTATTTAGTATGAGTCAAGTTACTTTTTTTTTTTTTGATAAGTGAGTCAAGTTTCTTCCGTTGTTAAATGAATGGTAGATTTTTTTAGATGCCTTAGTTCGAGTATTAGAGATTACAAGAGTGTTGAGCTTTCATTGTTAAATTCTTGAAAATATTTAGAATAAATACTAATTTATAATCACATTAGATTAATAAAACAAACATTTTTATTCAAACATCCCTTTTAAGCTTTTATCAATTTTAAATTAAGTAAATTCACCACCCCTTAAAAATATGAGTAATTTAGTCAATCTACAATTTAAAAATGAGTAAATAAAAACAACCTAAAACATTGTTGACAGATTGCAACAGTTGAGGTTATTGAGGAAGATGCTAAAGGAAAGGTCCTTGGAGGCTTTGCCACTACCTCCGAGGGTGTTTTTGATGTTGGATTCCCGGAGTTACAAAGTCTCATTGCGGCTATTCATCTGACTTTTTGAAATTAATATAATTACTTTTTAAAATTTTATCATAAATTATTATGATAATCAATAATATGATTATTTTTGAAATTTAGTTTTATATTAATTATAATTTATATATTGTAAATTTGATTTTTATGTTAATTCTAATTCATAAATTTCTTTATATTTCTTATATTATAAATTTTATTTAAAATCACTAAATTAAATTTAAATATTATCTTATTAAACTTGATTTTATTAAATTATATTAACTAAATTAAAATATTCATAAATCTAATTTACATTTAATGTGAAAATTGAATAATAATTTAAGTAAACTTAACTTGATATTTTAAAATCAAAATATATTAATTGAAATAGATTTATTAAATATTAAAAATTTGAATAACATTACAAATACTAAATAAATATTTATAAATGAAGGTAATTTCATTACACTTGAAAACACTAAAATTACAATAAAATCAACTAAACAGAATATGTGTATGTTGAAATAAATGCTCTCGGATCTTATAGCTAATGTTTACAAGACTAAAAAGCCTAACTATACTATCAGAAATATCATCATCGAGCATATACCTAAATGTTGTCAACATGTTTAATTATGGGTAACTTTCTACCTTTAAAAGCCAAAATGCCACCAACATAATTAAACATGAGTAACTATTTAGATAAAAATTTATAAGGTTCTAAAATTGATTTAAGTCAGACCAACAACAATAATTTACAAGGCATCAGTGAGTAATAGACAACAGCAACCGACAAGCATCAATGTACCAATTCAGCAAGCATCATTGCATCGATTCAACAAGCATCCTGTATTAAGAAAGCATATAATCAGTGGTAAAGCCAAAGGAAATTTGATGGCCAACAGTGCCAAACTCTGTATACGCAATCCCATGGCAATCCCATGGCAATGCAAGTAGTTTACCAGAAAAAGGTAAATATCAAAACAAACTCCACCCTGTGTGAAACATGAATCACAAATTTACGAAAAACATTGAGAAATGTCAGATGCAATAATTTATGATGAAAGAAAAGAAACATACTCCAATTAATAGGTCTCTCATCAATATTCTAATAAGCCTCAACTGACGAGAAACTGCTGGTCCCCCAACTGAGTCATCTCCTACCCTCCTGACAGACTCTTCATCCAATGCAAGAGTTGCTTCTAAAGTTGGAAGCCAGTTGGGTTGTTGAAGCCAGTGTCTTAATGAAAAGCTACCATGGTACTGCAAAACATGTATATAAAAACATAAAAAATAGTTTTAACCCACTCAAAAGAAGTACATAAGGAGTTGTTTGTATTGGTATACAAGCCTCAAGGCAAAACAACAGAGTCAGGGAGGAGCATGGATGGATGATGCAGTATACATGAAAAAGAATAGTACTAAAGAGTTAAATGGATATAAAGGGCATACCCCATGGACCAGAGTTAATGAGCTATAATGGATCATGCATGAGTCCGCAAAAAGCACCGACTGGAACCATTGGCATTAAATTCAACAGAGAAAAAAAACTAGAAAACAAATAAATTTTCTGAAAATTAAAACCAAAACAGAGTAACAGTGAAGCAAAACAGCTTGATGATGATATACAGCTGACCTGCATGGTGTTTCCTGATGGATCTGAGAGGCACCTGGGCTCATTCATAAGCTCCCACGCCATTATAGTTGGTTCATCTTTGTAAGCCACTCCAGTCAGGTGTTTCGTCTTGTAAGAACAATCTCTATTATAGCCAAAAACAAGAACGAGATTAAAAAAAGCTTGCATCAATTGCATATATTTTTAACCAGTTTTACCCGGAAATGTTCATCTACCTCTGTCTAAATTGGTGCAATAAATGAATTATTCCAATGCAAATCTTATTCCTGTCATTTCTACAACTGTCAAACTCAAAAGGCAGGCTTTCAAAATGGATGTGGTGAGGAAAGGGGGGAGACAAATTCTGACATTGATATGGTCTAGTAGTATTCTTTAACAACAGAGTTCGTAAAGAAATCATCAGCAGACGATTGCCCTTGATTTCTTGTCCGTTCACGTACTGTTTCTTCCCTCCAAATTGATCATAGTTATTCGCAAAGCTTAAAATAGCTTGATCCCATACCTCTTAGCTTCAGATACTACAAAATCCAATCCCTTCAAGGAAACAAAAAAGCATAATGAAATCAGAAACAGATCAAGGACCAGATTTTTTAACCTGAAAATGTTTTAATTTGAACCTAGAACATCAGCTCGTTGTAGGAGCCAGGTGAGTACTGAAGAGGTCTGTCTCCCTGTCACTGAAAGCCCAAGTTCTTGCTATGGCGTTGGGGTAGTTACAACTCCCAACTCCACTTTAATGGACCGGGATGGAGTTGGGGTAGTTGCCGAATTGGCAAAACAAGAAGGATTTGGAGGTGGGGTTGCGCCGGCAGAGGAAGGAGTGGAGGCTTGACGGAGACCACGCCGGCGGCGATGAGCCGGGGAAGAGGTGTCAGGAGAGGAAGGACCTGAAAAAAATTATCTAGATTTAAAAATAATAACAACCCAAAAAATTACACTTCAAATATATAAAATAATCAAGGTTTTGAAGAGTAGAAGAGAGAGTAACCATTGTTGAAATTAGCAGGAGAAGAATCGGAAGCCATGGCTAAGAGAAGAAGAGCGGCAAAAAGCGAGGGGGAATTTTTCTGAGACTTAAGTGAAAGAAAGAACGGAACAGCCTCCTGCGGCTGCTGGTTAGAGAAAAAAAACATTATTTGGCGGGAAATGATGCTGATTTTGGCGTCTTGTCGTAGCCTTGTGGCTTAACGAGGAGAAAATTCGTGTGTTTTTTAATTTTATTTAATATTGTAGTGTTGTCTCTTAGTTTTAAATTTATTTAATTTAGTCCAAAATTAATGATTTAATATATTAATTTAAGTTTCATATTTCAACTTTTTTTCAATTTAATCTAAATTTAATGTTACAATTTATTAATTTAAGCTTCATATTTAAAATTTGTTCAATTTGATCATTATTATTTTCAATTCTTTCAATTAATATATGGTTTATATTAATATATTTATATATACTATATGTTTATATATACTATGAACTATATATATAGTTGTATATACCATATACTATATAGGTTATATATACTAATGAACTATAATATATAGTTTGTATATACAATATACTATATAGGTTTATATATACTAATGAACTATATAGTATATAGTTTATATATAATGACTATATATATATAGTTTATATATACCATATAGTCTATATATATCATCTAGTTTATATACTAATAACTATAATGTATAGTTTAGGGTTTAGGATTTATAAATAGTTCATATGTAAATTATACTATATAGTATATTAGTTTTTATATATAATATATAGTATATATAATATATAGTATATAAATATAAACTATAGTATATAGTATATAAATATAAACTATAGTTTATATATAGTATATACTATACAATAGTATATAGTTCACTAATAAACTATATATAGTTCATATGTAAACTATAGTATGTTAATATCAAACTATAGTTTATATGTAAACTATAGTTCATATAATATCAACCTTAGTATATATTATATATATATTATAATATATATATATATATATATATATATATATATTATATATATAATATATATATATATAATATATATATTTATATATAGTTCATATGTAAACTATAGTTCATATATAGTAAATAAATATAAACCTATAGTTTATATAAATAGTATAAATATAGTATAATATAAATTATAGTATGTAGTTATATAAATAAACCCTAAACCATATACTATATATATATATATAAACTATATAATTTATTAATAAACTATATAATTTATACAATATATATTATATAATTATACATAATATATAATATAAATATATAGTTTATATATAATTAATATATAATTTATATATAAACTATGTAGTTTCTATATAGTTCATATATAAACTATATAGTATTATAGTTTATACATGGTATATATAGTTTATACTTTCTACATAATATATATATATATACTATATAGTATATATATATAATACATATACTTTATATATAAACTATATAGTTTATATTATATATATATATATCTATATTAGTTGTTTTAATTTTTTTCTCAACTTATTACTTATTTCTATTTATTAAGTGGCCCATAACTTTTTAAATGAGTATAATTTAGTACATTTTATATTAATTCAACTCAAAATTTAAAATTATTCGATTTGATCCCTTTGTGTTGTTTAATATATTTAAATTTTTATTTGTAATTTCATATTTGTTCAATTTAGTCCTCCAAATTTTATTTGCACATGAAATTGACTCATACTTATTACTTATTTCTATTTTTAAATTGGCCCATAACTTTTTAAATGGGTATAATTTAGTACTTTTTGTATTAATTTCAACATCACAATTTAAAATTATTTCGATTTGATCTCTCATCAATGTGTGTTGTTTAATATATTTAAATTTTTATTTGTAATTTTATATTTATTCAATTTAGTCCTCCAAATTTTATTTGCATCTGAAATTGACCCATAGTTATTACTTATTTCTATTTTTAAATTGGCCCATAACTTTTTAAATGGGTATAATTTAATACTATTTTGTATTAATTTCAACATCACAATTTAAAATTATTTCGATTTGATCCCTCATCAATGTGTGTTGTTTAATTTATTTAAATTTTTATTTTTAATTTCATATATGTTCAATTTAGTTCTACAAATTTTATTTGCATATGAAATTGATCCATACTTATTACTTAATTCTATTTTTTTAATTGGCCCATAACTTTTAAATGGGTATAATTTAGTATTTTTTTGTATTAATTCAACCTCACAATTTAAAAATTATTTCAATTTGATCCCTCATCAATATGTGTTGTTTAATTTATTTAAATTTTTATTTGTAATTTCATAATTGTTCAATTTAATTCCTAAATTTGTATTTTTCATAAAATTGAACCATGATTATTTATATTCTTAGTAATCTACTCTAAATCATATACAATTACAAAATTGCAATTCAACATTCGCAAAAGACGAAAATAATTAATCCAAAAATAAAAATTAACCCGATTTGAATTCAATCCGTATCTGATAGAGATCCGACCTTAATTTTATATGCCAATGATATGACCCGATCTAAACGAGATCCGCCTGAAGTCTATCCGAACCTGAATTAACTTGTTTTTTAACTGCTTCAGACCTGAACTGACAACGATCTGAACTGAAAATGACCTGACCAGAACCTAATCTGAATCTGATGTCAAATCAACATGAAAATAACCCGAACTGATTTGACCTGACCAGAACCCGATCTGTATCTGATGTCAAATTTACCTAAATTGACCTATATCCGATTTTACCCGACCTATCAAGATCCGATTAAAACATGAACGATTACCCGATTTTACAACCCTAACCCCTGCCAACTTCAACAAGTGGACACTCTCCCTGCCATGGCCATACTCCTCTGCCAACAACCTTCACCAAACACCCATATCAATCATCACCATATAAAAGCCATTTTCAGAGAACAACACATGATGGGAGATATCATCAGTTCAAAAAAGAGTGAAAAATCACAGTAACCAACCAGAAATAAAAAAACGAGAAACAAAGAAGAAAAGAGAAGAAAATAAAGGAACGAGAGATTCTCCGTCGGTTGTTGGTACTTTCTGGAGATCGGAGCCTTCTTTTGACGATCCGAACAATGAGCAACGAGATAATGATGATGGTGGCCACATAACTTGATCTCGCGATGATCTAACGACGGAGGAGTTAGATCGGAGAGGTGAAGAGCCGAAAGGTCTTTGACCTTTTTCGTGGAGCTAGGGGTCATATCTCGTAAAACTAAGGTCGGATTCGAACTCCCGTAGTCGAGATGAACTTTCCTTTGAAATTTGACACCAAACAGTCACCGAAAAACAGAAACGGGCGGTAACAAATGAGTTTCATTCTTTTTTAAGTTTAAAACTTTATGCGTCTTGAATCTGGTCTAAAAGGTGGGAACGGCACCAATTTTCATGTACTTGGCAAATTTCCTCTTTGATCTTTTCATGAATTGTATGTTGGTTTTATTTTTCTTTTATTTTTAGCACTATGCTTTATTTGTATTTAATTTTAGTCCATTAAGGCATATATAATCACATGTGCGAACTACAATACGCATACATTATCCTATATATTAAATGAATTAGACACCTTGGTTATATTAATCAATTTTTTACGAATGTGTATATATATATATATCCTTGTTTATGATTTGTTCATGCTTTTTATATTTCTTTTAGTTTTTTCTTCTTATCTTATTGGTACTCATTTTAATCCCACTTCAGTGGTTATTGTTTCTTTTTAATTTCAATATATTTATTTCATGTTATCTACATTTCCATGCATGTATTTATTTTTTATTTAATGTTCAATAGTTTATTTTTCGATTGGTTAATTCATACTTTATGTTTTGCTTCGATGTTGTTTTTAAATATAGTATATTCATATTTTTTAAGGACATTTATCGTAGAATGGGTGTGAAAAACACCACTTAATGGAAGTAGTGTGATTCGACATTTGAACTTTAAAGATAACTTGAAAGAAATCAAGTTTTTTTTTAAAAAAAAATAATTAAGTTACTCTTTTTATTTTAGTTTAA